ATATATATATATATATATATTAAATAATAATAATTAAATATAATTAAATTGATTTGATGTTTATGACGTCACAATTTCCAATGATTCCACACCCCTACTAAGGGGGTGCCATTAGCACTCCCTAAAATAAAGAACTTTTTGTATTTAATTAATTTTAAATAAATCATAAGGTATTTAAAATTGTATTTTTTTTAGATCTGATATTGTTTCTGACAGAGCATTTAGAAACCAAACAAGGTTTTTTTTACTACCGGTATTTCACACACGAACACATTTTGTGTGTTTACTGAGGAGGTTTTTGGGATTGCTTATTTAAAACAACTTATGCTTTTTTTTTTTGTAAAAGTGCTTATTAACTTATGTGGTATCAAATCAGAGTTAAATAAAACAAGGTTAAAATTGTAAACTGGTAATAAACAGTTTTTCATAAGTCAGGAAGGATTAACTTATCAAAAACAACTTATTACCGATTTGACACCGATATAAGCAGTTTTTTTTTCTAATCCAAACACCAGAAAACAGCTTATCACCGGTGCCAGACTGAAATAAGTTAAAAAACAGATTTTATAAGCAATCCCAAACACCCCCTGAATGCTAGTCCAAAACTCTAGATCCAATCGTACACTCAAACCCTTACATCGACAAGCAGTGCCTCCACGTATAACGATTTTGTTTTTCCTTTCAAAAAACTGTGTTATTTTCGACGACCCTAAATCAAGCAAGATATCGTCCAAATATCTGCTTGCCAAATTCTTTTGAGCGCTCTTGAAAACGAATTGAAATACCACCCAGATGATTTAGAATGTTGTTTAGTGAATTCCCCAATTTGATGTCGAGATCCCATTGTTTTCTACCAAAACGGTATCGTATACAACAATTTACCCGGTAAACTCTTATCATGGTAAGATTCGTCGCCCTTATTTACCGAGTAAGACTATTGGTTCTTGTCTCGCTCTTATTGGGTAAGATTTTTGATCCTTATCATATTTATCCGGTAAGGTAATACGACTTGGTATTTACTTACCCGAGTAAGCGTTTGATAAACAGCCAATTCGTGTTGTGTGGAAGTTTTGATACGAAGATTAAACCCAATGGGCCAAAAAGATCATAAATGGGCTTAACAATATGGGCTGAATCATAATTGATGATGTTGAGAAAAAAATGGTCAAAAGTCAAAGAAAAACGTCAACCCCTGAAAATAGAAATTTACGTGGCTGATTATCCCTCAATCCAACCAACAAAAACTACGATGTTTTCAGATCTCATGTCCAGAATCAACCGTTTCCATCCAACCTCTTTGGATTTTCTCTCTCAAATCTTCAATCGTCAACTAATTTTCTTCCATTTTCGTTCTTCAATCCCAATGTTTCTTCCTTTTTATCAATCTTTACACACAAATCCATAACACCCAGAAGCATGGTCGGCAAAGATAAAGCTGTTCGCAACGATTCTATAATTTCTCACGTTAATGGTAGACAAGAACCTGCAACTCATAGCAGAAGTGGTCGTGGTAGTGACGACTTTGATTTTCAAAACATCCCACCCATGTCTGTATCATCGGAGAAAGGTTCCGGCATGTCTGGTGCCGTCTTTAATCTCGCCACGACGGTGATCGGAGCTGGAATAATGGCACTTCCGGCCACCATGAAAGTTCTCGGCTTGATCGCCGGAGTTGTTTTCATTTTCTTGATGGGTGTTTTGTCCGAAATCAGTCTCGAATTGCTCGTTCGGTTTACGCATCAATGTAAAGCGACTTCGTATGGCGAAGTTGTCGAGCACGCGATGGGGAAACCGGCTCGAATCGTGTCGGAGATTTTTATAATTTTGAATAATGCGGGTGTTTTGTTGGTTTATTTGATTATAATGGGTGACGTAATGTCGGGTTCATCCCGACATTCCGGAGTTTTGGAACAGTGGTTCGGGAATGGGTTCTGGGATGATCGAAGAATCGTGAGTTTGATTCTTCTGATCATCTTTCTGGCTCCACTTTGCGCGTTGAGTAAGATCGATTCGTTGAGTATGACCTCGGCTGCGTCGGTGGTTCTCGCGATTCTTTTCGTCGTTATCGCTTGTGTCGTCACTTCCATCATGCTCGCCGAAGGGAAGATCGGTTCTCCGAGATTGGTACCGGATTTCGGTTCGAAATCCGCCATTCTCGATCTTCTCGTTGTGATTCCAATCATGTCGAATGCTTATGTTTGTCATTTCAACGTTCAACCGATTTACAACGAGCTCGAAGACCGGTCGCCGGAGAAGATGAACACAGTGGGAAGATGGACGACGGTTATTTGTGTCTTGATTTACTGGTCGACGGCCATCGCCGGCTACCTTCTGTTCGGAAAAGATACAGAACCAGATGTTCTCACGAACTTCGATAAGCCATTGCCGGTTAAAGGAAGTGAAGCTTTGAGTTATATCGTTCGAGTGGGTTACATTTTTCATCTGATTCTTGTTTTTCCGGTGATCCATTTCTCCCTCCGGCAAACGGTGGATGCGTTGGCATTCAAAGGTAAACCGCCATTATCGAAGAGTAAGACGAGGTGTTTAGGGTTAACTGGTGCGATTTTGATTGTTGTTTACTTGGCATCTGTTTTAATTCCGAGCATCTGGACGGCGTTCAAATTCACCGGAGCAACCACCGCCGTGTCGTTAGGCTTTGTCTTTCCGTCACTGATCGCACTGCGGCTGAGCCGCCATGGACCGGAGGGGCTGAGCAGCCGGGAAAGGGTGTTATCGTGGTTGATGTTGATTCTGGCGATCGTCGTCAGCGTCGTCGGAGTTGTTGGAAACATCTACGGCATGCAAAGCTGATCTTGATCAATCTGACGGCGGCGGACGGCGGCTATGGAGGTTTTTGCATGAAGAAATGATGGATCGGGTCGGGCGAAATTGGGAAAATCGGTTTGAAAAATGATTTGGTTCGGGTTCAAGAACGGGTAACCGAAAAGATTCGGAGCATGCATTCTCGAAAGATCATAAGTACCAATAGTTTTTATTTTTAGGTGTATAATTTATTGGGTTAAATACTTAAATACATAAAATAGTAATTTACTTTCATGAATTTTTTTATTATAATATTTTGTTTTTGTTTTTCTTTATTACAATAATGTATTTTTAAATTATTTTTTATTAAGACATCATATTTTAAAAAAATCTATCTATAATAGCAATGAGTAACTTGTTCCATTTTAAACTGGTTAATCATTTGATTTTTTTTGCTTGTGTGACTTTAATGAGATGATGTGAATAACACATTTTGATGACGTAACTAAAATAAAAATAAAAGTCTATTTCAAATTATTATTAGTGATTTTCATTTTTCATTGTTATGATCTAAAAAAACATTTAATTCTTTTTTTATTCATTTCTTATTAAGTTATATGCAAATTAAGTATTCAAGAGTAAAATATTTCTTAAATAAATATGAAAACATTATTTTCGAGATATATTTTATTTGTAAAAAATGTAACACTTTTTATTTTTTGTTGTTCAAATAAATACATATATTTTAAAATTCTATTTAAAATATTAACGAAATAAATTGTGATCTACAATTTTTTCATATTGTTATATTATTAAATAATTCAAAAAATCTAATCAATTTAATATATTTATACGTTAAGTAAAAGTTTTTGAACAAATATAATATATTCTTTAAAAGATAATATTTTTTGGTAAAAAAGAAACAATTTTTATTTTCCTTTTTTTCAAAAAAACACATAACTTTTTAAAAATATTAGCGAGATAAGTTGTGTTCTACTAGTTTTATTGATATTGGTATATTAATAAATAATTTAGATTTTTTTAATTCATTTAATATATTTATTAAATAACATGTCAAATATATAAATATTAAAATTAAAAATACAGTGTTTAATAAGAACTAGTAGATACTATAATAAAATAATTTTGAAAGTACAATGATGTAATAAGAAAATTACATCACTATAGTACATGTGGACAACCTACATGGACAATGAGGTGGCATGAAAACCTGGTATAATGGGTAAATTTAAATCAAAAGGTTATCCAATGCTATAAAGGRTAAATTTTTCAAAGTACAATGTCCTAATAAAAAATAGTTTGAAAGTACATTGTTGTAATAAGAAAAACTTGAAGTACAATGCTATAATAAAGAAATTTATAAAAATAAATTGTTATTTTATGCATTTTACCCTAATTTATTTGTTACTGAATAATTAAAATTGGATTTCGACATGGGTACGGGTATGGGCCGTTTAAGGGATTTTTGGGCTTAGTTTAAGGGATGTTTGGGCTGAGTTTAAGGGGTGTTCATTCAAATTCCAAACCCCCCAAATGGTATAAACCGTTTACACCGCATGGTACCGTACCGTAAAATATGGTTTATAATTTTTACGATACGGTTTACGGTTTGCATTTTCATTAAATTGTACTATGCGGTGTGGATTGCAGTTTTAAGCTGTCAAATTACAGTTCAAACTGCATCGCACCGTTTATTTTGTACATTGTTTAATTTTATATATAACACACAGACGAGTGAAATGAGAGCAGCCTGAATCGTGGAAATAGGGTTGTGGGAGAGAATACAAGTGTCGTGATGCTAGGCGAAGCAATAGAATGCTGCACCCTAGATGACGAAAGTCCAGTAACCGAAAGCTTCACTAGTTTACGCTCTGACCCAATCAACAAGGATCACCTTGCAACACACACTCTGTGTGTGTATATATATATATATGTGTGTGTGTGTGTGTGTGTGTGTGTGTGTGTGTGCGCGTATGCATGCACACACGTATGTGTTTAGCAATGATTTATTATTTATTTAAGAGTGAATTACAAAAGTGGTCCATGTGATTTGCTCAAATTTTGGATTTGTTGTCTAAAATAAATTATCTACACTGGTGGTTTCTAACTTTTTATTTGCTCAAATATTTTTTAATTAAAAAATAAAAGAAAACGTGAATTACATTAAATTTTAGAGTAGAATGCACTTTTGGTCCCTATAGTTTGTTTAAAGACCAACAAGTCCATCGTAATGGTTATTAACTAACATTGTTAAGTGGATAAACCATGGGTGTTATGAAAATGAAAAGTTATGGACCAACAATGTAGATAATTTGTTTTAGGGATCAAATTCAAAATTTGAGCAAACCACAAGGACCACCAGTCACTCTTTATTTAATATTTTTGGACTCTTAAGTTTAACAAGTCCAATTTAGTTTGAAGTTTATTCTTTTTACTTCTTAGACTATTTTTAATTATTCAATATCTTTTGTGATTCAAATGTATTTGAAAACTCTTTGGGGATGTTTGGTTTATGGATTTTGGTGGAATTGGAAGGAATTAGAATGTCTAAATCTTTGACCAAATTCCAAATACCATGTTTGGTTCACAGAATAGATGTGAAAAAATTATTCTCATTCCAACAAATTCTTCAAGTCACCGATTCCACAATTCCACCGTATATACCACGGATTTCAAATCCCAATCCGACAAATTACTTAGCCCTCATCCAAATTCATCTAACGTTGTATCTCGATTTGCTCTGCAAATGAAACTTCTGACATAATAAATGCACCCACATGGATTATTGTTATACAAATTACACATGTGTCATTTATATCCAATAGAAAAAGGTTAGAACAAGAATTGGTTGTGCACATGGATGACAAATGACATTACACTTTTTCAGAATAATAGTTTTAAGTTTTTTTATATTGGTTTAAAGTTTCAAAAATACTGATTTAAATTTAAAATGTATAAGATTACATGTAATTTAAAATGTAATTTATAATTTATACATATGATACATTTATAATTCATAAAATATTTAATTTTCATGTAATGTTGTAAATAACTTACATTTTTTTTACAGTATAATCAATATCACATATGATACACTTAGGAAAATCAGCAACGGATATCACATATGATTATTGACAAAAAAAATGTAAAAAAAAATATTAAATGAACTACTTCAATAAAAATAAATAATTTAAATGAAAAATTAAATCGCATTTTAAATGTTGTAAACAATAAAAAATTGATAAATGAAAAATTAATCATGCTTAAATCAAAAAAAATATAGAAAAAGCATTAATAAATATCTTAATTAAATGTATTAAATAATCTATATAGAAATAAATGAATTTTCATATATAACACATATGCCATTTTAGACGATTTTTTAGAAATTTTTATTTAAGCCATTATTCAAATAAATGTTTGGCCCCGAATTATTCTCTTATTTTTTTACATATGTATCATTCTCGTATGAACCTCCCTGTACATACATATATACAAATATAAGGTTAGGTTCCAGTGAGAAAAAGAATTAACGTGAGAAGCATAAGAAAAGATCTCTACCATTGGATGCACATTATGATGAGATGTACCGGATCAATCTTGTATCAAACATGATTCATGGATGGCTTTGAGATTAAAATGTGATCAATGATCTAGTTCGTTTTTTATGTTTCTCACCTTAACTCTACTTCTCACATGTCTAGATATACGTACATACATATATACAAAGGATCGTGTGCGAATAAGAGTTAAGATGAGAATTGTAAGAAGAGATTTAGATCCTTGATTACTTTTTATTAGTGTTGATTTAATGGTTTTGATTAAGTCCCAAAATAACCTACGAATTAGTTTAGAAGAGTATTTTCAATTGATCTTCAATTAGAATTGATCCAATGATGGAGATATCTTTTTACTTTTCGCAAGTTAACTATTGTTTTTACTACAAACCAACTCTCTCTCCCTCTCTCTCTACACACACACACACACATATATATATATATATATATATATACACACACACCGGTGAAGATGGAAGTTATGGTGAAAAGGGTAAAGGGGGGGGGGGGGCAAAAGAGATCTCCACCCCTATATCAATCCTAATTGAAGAACAACACTAATACGGCACATTGAGATGCACTAGATCAATTCCTGTAATAAGTGTAATTCATGGGATTGAGTGAGATTAGAAAAATTATCAAGAGTCCAGATCTCTTCTTACGTTTTTCACCTTAACTCCTATTCTCACATGATTCAATATATCTATATACATACATACACACACATATACATACATATATATATATATACATACATATATATATATATATATATATATATATATATATATACTTCTAGAAATTAAAAAAACTTTATGAAGGATAAGTCCCTATCCATGTGCACAATGTCATGTTTCTAGTTTGTTTTTCTCCATGTCTTTATATTACATTAAGTCCAAATGCAATTCAAGAGGACAAAATGGACTTTTAACCGACAAGAAGTAAACACATCAAAGAGTTATTACTCAATTTTCATTGGGTAATAACTTATCAGTAAGAGTTACCATCTTCACTTATCTTGTTAGGTGATATTTTCAGCCATTAAAATTGATTGTTTGTAAGTGTTTCTTACTCGGTAAATATTAACTAAGGGGTTGTTTACTAACTGCTGATCAGGTTGACTTGGTCAGCAAATCTGACTCGGTCAGCAGTCAGTGTGCTTACCAAATCATGGATCTGACCGAGATGTTGATCGAGATCTTACCCAACCAGCGTCCAATTCATGCTTACCCAAGTCAGATCTTTGCTTTCCATACTTGCCCTATTTTTCCGATTAGGTTTCACCCCTATCACTTATCGCTCCCTCATCGCTCATCCTCCTCCCTCTTTGGTCCCGGCTCTCCTACTACAACTCGGTCAGTCCTCATCTATCTTCGCTCTCGGCCATCATCCTTTCTCCCTCGTCGCTCAAGTCCTTCCTCACGCCGCTGCTCAAAAAGGTATTTTTGTTAAATTGCTCGACTTATGCTAAATTCATTACATTTATTGGGTTTTTCTGTTTTCTGGCTTTATATTATGTGCGATGATGATGGACTACTTGAAAGCATCGGCTAATTTCATCACTTGATCGATTTATGTTTTGTTCTTTCATTTTCCAATTGTGGGAATGGATAGTATTTTTAATAGAATCATATAATTCTCTTCATTTGATGCTCACTTTGCCTCACAATTAGTTTTCCATCTCTATTTCTTGCTTAATTTGACTGCACTTAACAAGATCGTGATCTGTAATAACAGATCTTATCTCTAGATTTCAATTGAGTTTTTTGAAGTTGGATCTCTTGTGGGTTCTTGATTTGGGAAGCGGGTTGTGCTTCATATGCTCATATTTCAAGATTTCTTGATTTTTAATTTTTTTTCTTTTTGTATTATTGATCTAAATACCCTTTTTAACCAGATTTGAGCATCAAATTATTTTGTCTTTGGATTTTCCCATTTGAATCAAGAACGTTTAGGTTGATTGATTCAAAGATTTGTAGTCACAATCTTGTTCGGAAAAGGAAAGTGCAGTCATTTCAAGATTATGTTTGTGGTTCTTGATGGGGATCGCAAAATTCTTGTTCTATTATTCAATTCAAACCCCTAAATTTGAAAACGATGATTACATCAAAGACATTTATACAAAGATCTGAAATTTGATGAATACTATGTGTAAATTTTAATGGGTGTGTGTGTTTTCTTGGATCTTTATGTTCTAATCTAGTATTTTTCTTAAACGGATATTGAGTTTGCTCTGATTTGTGTCATCTATGTAGGTTTAACTCACACATGATTTTGTTTCTTTGCCAATTAGGAGCGCGGGTTTTGAGCGATTTTTATGAAACTGTGATGTTGGGAACTTCTAGTAATCATTTATAAAATTACAGCATCTCCAACAACCACGTTATAATATCTGTTTTTTCTTTTCAAATTTGGATATTTCTTTTTTAAGAGAAAAGTTTAAACATAACTGTTGAGTTGAAGCAAACTTTTCTCAAAACTTCAGAATTTCTTAAATAACGTATTTTTTAGAGATACTTTTATACTGTTGAATTTGACATTTTTAGAAAGATCTGGAAAAAAAAATCATGCCTAAGAAAATAACAAAATTTCCAATAAAAAGTAACATGTTGAATTAATGGTATCCCAAATTCAACACGATTTACACTGAAAATAAAATAAACACAAAAATACTGTAAATTAAGGAATATTTTAAATTGAAGCAGTTTAACGTAAAATTTAGGCCCAAAAGAGGTTGCAACGGCAAAACTAACCATTATTCCCAAGAATCTACATGATCGGAATTTTTTCGATGATAGGTCATAAGCTTTATAATTCCATCACTGTTTAAAACATATAACCGTTTAAAATAGATATATTTCCAGTATCGTTTTTCACATGTTCCGTTATTCCATAAAAGACTCGACAAATTACTAAAATAATTTAATTTGCAACATTAACCATACACGTATACCAGACAGTTCTTTTATAAAATGTTTAAATTGACATAATAACGACATTACTTTAAACCAATTCACATTTTTTACGTAAAATATCAACATATGGGGCAGTTTGGCAGTTGCTGAATGGTTTGGTGCAGAATGATTAAGAGACTCTTATGATATAATGCAAAATGAAATATAATTATTTGGTAATTATTTACGACGAAATTAGGGCGCTGAATGGTTAAAAGAGACTCATGATACAAAATCATTTAAAGGGTTTTAGAACCATCAAGAGGTAGACTTTGTTTTTTTTACCAAACAAGATTCACCTCTTAACGATTCAGAGCTGTCTCTTAATGGAACTATTAAGAGGTAAACAAACAACCCCATACTCTAATTTAAAGTTAAAAAAAAAAAATCAGTTGTCTCAGCCCTTATGTCTTAAAGCTACGACATCCCACTAATCCTCGGCTTTGCTAGTTGGCTTAATTTGAAGGATTTTGTAGGTTCGTTGATCAGGGTTTGACAGAAGGACTTTCAAAGTTTCCAAAAACTGAAGCTACAAATCATGATTTTTGCCAACCTCGATTAATTCCAGAAGACCCTAAAGATAACTACAGAACAGACCCTTATGGCCTTGAACAAATTCAAACCAACGATTTATAAAGAATGATTCAAGATTCTAACATTTATTTATCAGTTAAACTGATTTTAACCAGATCAAACTGTTTACTGATAGAATGGAAAATTACAATAGTTGGTTTTTTTAGGTCATCAAAACTTACCCAAATGAATATGAATGGTGGGTATGTCCCTTTTTCCATGCCTTGATTGATGCCCATATTTTCAAACTTGGATTTCTTAGTCTTCAAGTCATTTGCCCCTTCTTAGAATTTGGTCCCCATTCACTCAACAACCATCTTGAGTTTTAATGACAATGTGAGTCTTCATTTATAATATTATAATACTGTGATACTGTAGTTCATCACATATGACAGTGGGTCAAGTCGTCTGTACGTCATCAGATCTCGTCACTTGTATTATCACATGTAATATAAACATTCTAGTATTTTCGTAAATTGCTGGTGTTTTTGTTTGAACCTCGACCACCTTTATAACAGTCTAAAGATATGTAAACAAATAACATCAATCTATTTTCAATTAATCTTAAAATATGGTTTTAACATATATATATATATATATATATATATATATATATGGGTTAGGTTTACGTGATACCAACATGTTTTCATGAGACCCGCGAGACCATAATTTTACACTTGAAACTTCATAGCAAAACTTGTGAAGATAAAAAACTCTGAACCTTCATAACAAAAATACTATGAAAATTACTTTCACAGTTTTTTACTGTGAAGTTTCAAGTAAAAAAAAGATGGTCTCACATATCTCATGAAAAGACACCGGTCTCACATGATTTCAATATATATATATATATATATATATTTATTTATATATATGTACAAATGATGATGATTTTCATTTGATCGTTCATCTCTCTTGTATATATGATATGAAATAATAAAAATACTTTTTGTAAGCATTAACTCTTAGTTATAGCATCTCATATATATACAATTAATATTTCAATAATATTGTTCTATTATATTTTCTTGAATTATTTATTTTCAGAATATTTTATTAATTATTTCCCTGTGCTAAAATTAATTACTAAAAAAATACATACTTTTTAATTTTTTTTACAAATATTTATTTTGGGATTGAGGATGTATCGTATACTTAATTTTAATGTTTGTAAAAACGGGTTGGGTTAAATGAGGGGCATTTATGTATTTATTAAAGAACAAAAAGTGTATCAAAATGGGCAAATTGTATGAAAAAAAAAACAACGTATTTTAACTTGATTCATATTTTGAGTATCATATTTTCAAAACTTCCATTTTGGTATCTAAGATGGTAAAGTTTTAACATTTAAGTACCATAGTAACCGGTTGAAACATTAAGCGGTTACCATGTTGATATGACGAGTGATGTGGTATCCAACTCAATATTATTTGTTATTCAACCCAATTTCATCCCATCACTCGCAACATCAGCATGGTAACCGGCTAAAGCTTCAACCGGTTACCCGGGTACTTAAATATTGAAAACTTTACATCTTAGGTACCAAAATGAAAGTCTTGAAAGTATATTACCCAAAATAAAAATTAAATTAAAGTACGTTACTTTTTCGTACAATTTACTCTGTCAAAATATAATAAAATTTTGATGGAATTATAAAAAGTTAATTAAAATTTTGCTGGAATTATAAGGGTGTTTCAGATTGCTTATAAAAACAGCTTATTAACTTATTTCGGTGTGACACCAGTGCCAAACTGGTAGGTAATAAGGAGTTTTTGAAAAAGTAAAATCATTTTATCTTATAATAAGTTGACAAAGACTTTTATAGAAAATCATTAAAACACCCCCAAAATACATGTATCATTACTCTTGTGTATAAATAGGTTATCTTCAACCCAATGCAACACAAAGTCATGGACTGGTTTTCATGGCTATCAAAAACTCGCCTTGAACCTCCATTTATTCACGAATATGCCATTGCTTTCTCCTACAATCAGCTCCAACAAGAAGACATCTCTTATTTCAACCATGAATTTCTTCAAAGCATGGGAATCGCCATAGCGAAACACAGGCTCGAGATCCTCAAGCTCGCAAAAGGGTCAACCGGTTCGCACCCAATGGCTAAACTCATCAAAGCCATCAAGAAAACCAAGACCAGCTTGGCTAGCTACGTTCGCACCTGGGTTGATCGCCGCCGTGACTCGGCGGCTCTGGTCATGGTGCAGAAACGAAGGAGTTACAGTTCGAGATGGAAAGGTACCATGTTGAAGAGGAATAATAGATTGGTGACGTCATCCACGGCGAAACACGGTGGTTCTGCTGCTACTCTTTTGCTCACTAATGGCGGCCACCGGCGGCCGATGGTGGGTAGATCTGGTGGTGCTAAAGTGAACAGCTTTTCAAGTCCGTTGGTTTATAATCTTCATCGATACCATGATGATGATGAAGATAAGGCAGACGACGGTGGTGACCATCGAGAGATTAATTCGTTTAGTGATGATGACGGTGGTGGTAGCGACGGTGGCGGTGGTGGATATTGGTCTAGTACCGGCGGTGAAGAGATCAAATGGGACGCCATGTTTCAGAACTTGAAGCCCACTTAGATTTACAGTCATCTTATTTTTTTTTTGAAATCGATGATCGATCAAAATTAGTCATTTTTTAACTGACATTTTTCATTGGTTATCCATTAAGTCTTATATGATAAAAGCAGTTGTTATGAATTAATCTGTCTATATGGATTAAGAAATTTTTTTATCTGAGAGAGTTTTTTCATAGATAAAATAAACTGGTTTTTAATCGGAGATGAAGAACTTTTGCTTTCAAGAAAATTTGTAGTATATTAAAGTATCATTTATCCGGTAAATACTTACCAGTAAGATTTAACACTATCATTAATTTTATCGGGTAAGATTTTAGTTCATTAAAACGGAATCGTATGCAACAATTTATCCGGTGAGTGTTAACTGCGTAAGAGTCATCACTTTCACTTATCAGGTAAGACTTTCGGTCGTTGTCATCACTCTTATTGGGTAAGGGGACGTTTACCAAACGTTTATTCGGGTAAACAGTTACCAAGTCACATTATTTTACCGGATGAATATGACAAGGACCAATAATTGATACCTGGTAAGAGCGATGGCAATGTCCGAGAGTCATACTCGGTAAGTGAATGTGACGACTCTTACCATAATTAGTGCTTAACGGGTATATTGTTACATAATATACCATTTTTGTGGACTAAAATCTTACTCAATAAGTAAATCATATTGTCAAACACTTACCCCGATAAGCGTTTGATAAACAACCCATAAGAATTAAGAATCTCGGTACTTGTCATCTTAATCCGGTAAGGTAACGTGACTTGATAAACGCTTATCAGATAAGCATATGATAAACAACCCCTAAACATTGTTTCAAAATTTTAACTGGTTTCTGGTTAGATCTAAATTGATTTTAGGAAAATTGACTGAAATACGAACCCCGTCAAAATAAAATACAGAAATGACTAAAAAGTGAAACTCCGGCATAAAATTAACTATTTCAATCAATTTTGGTTTATTATGGAACATGATTATGTAGGCCCACTTTAGCCAGAGGATGTGGTGGGTGCACTTGGGTGTGACCTGACTCAACCATGTGTTGGGACCATGGTGATGGTGGTGGGAGCCATGGGACCTGGCTTACCAACCAAAGGGGTGAGTAATGAGTTGACACTTAACCTTTGAATTTGATGTCAACATTTGGCCTTTTCAATAACCTTCAAACGACAACTGTATAAAACATGATGTTTTTGGCGGTAATCTTGGGATTTGAGAGATTCACAATTTCTTTTTAACCTCCGTACCTAATTCGTTATGCGAACTGATTAATCCTAAGACGACCACCTGCTTTACAGATAGTCCAGAGTCACTACATTTGAACCTCCGTGGCCACAAAGGGATTTTTATTTCTCATTTGGATTTGAACCTGAGACCTCCTGGTACTTTTGATCTTTAGAGCCAAGTTTAAATCAATCAGGCACTACCCTTGCGGTTAAAGTGATGAATTTCATTATCCAAAATACGATGAATTAGTATGCTATGCGACTGTCGGTCTATCCAGAACTTACAAAAAGCACGACCATGATTGATTGTAACATGTTAACATGCGAGATCGTTCTCTCATGTTTTCTTGTTCTGTATCACAATTTTTCGACCGTTAATGTTGCAAAATTAAAGGAAAAAACGATTACGAAACTACAATTAATACGTATTTGTGAATCTTTTCGTACAAAAAACTTGCGAAAAAGCTCGATTTTTACATGACGGGCATGGATACAATACTCATATATAACCTTTTAAACAAAACAAATGTTGAATTCTCTTAAGCATTGTTACAACAAACACATAACATCGCAAACGCACCGTGAAGAACGTATCGTTTGGTCGAAACTTTGACAGACCATCGATGATCGCTAAAACCCGATCATCATCGATGGCCAGCGCTTTGCGGCAAACGAAACGAACCGCCAGCATAAAGCATTTGGTAAACCGGTCTAATTCTTAGGGTTAAGATCAAGCTCAAGATGGTTCCTACACCACAAACACAAGCCAGAACGAGAAACGTGAACCGAAAACACGCGGGTCCCATGCAACTCGACGTGCCTTGCTTTGCTTCCTCGGTGTCGTAAATGTAACCCGCGAGCATACCCGAAAAGAGAAGTGCGCCAAGTGGGTTTCCGAGCTGCATGAAGTTGAAGATGATCCCGAAGTTTTTCAATCCGAAAAGCTCGGAAGATGTTGAGATCATGATCGCGATTTGAACACCGTAGCAGGTTCCGAGTAACGCTGTTGCAGCGTAAAGCGTTCCGTCTAGAGCCGATGCGTACAGAAGATACGTTAACACCATGATGATTTGCGTTACCATCGTCCAAAATGTTCGTGGGATCGTGTTTAATCTGCAGGAAATTAAGCAATCGGATTATGAAACAGTCACAAAACGCGCATCACTATAACAAAATCGTCTTTAGGATTGGGTTCACGTGAGATCAGTCTGTTTTTATGAGACCACTTTTTTACAAAATCTACCATGTAAAAAAGTTAATAAAACACATTATTTTAAAATTGTCCTAAAAATCTTGTCAGACATCCAAAAACATTATAAAAACAACTTATTGACTTATTCCGGTGTGACACCAGTAATAAACACTTTTGAGTGTTTGGATAAACAACTTATACTGGTGTCAAACCGGTAATAAGAAGTTTTTAAAGAAGTTAAACCATTCTAACTTATAATAAGTTGATAAGGACTTTTATAGAAAACCACAAGTTGTTTCAAAAAAGCAATCCCAAACGCCCTTTAAAACATGATAACAAGAAATGTGTTCAAGATTCGTGATTCTTACCTTACGAAGTACTCGGAAACGGCACCGCCACCAAGCCGGCCGAGAAAATTGCAGAAGCTGAACAAACTTAACAACGTGTTCGTATCATCGAAGCCGAGCGAAGCTCCGATTTGCGCCAAATTATTGAGAACCGTGACTCCCGAGCCGACGCCAAGAAAGTACGTCATCCATAGAAGCCAGAAATCGGCTTTCATCATGGCTTCATGAAACGAGAAATCCTCCCCTCTTCTCGGCCTTCTTTTCTTCTTGATCGCACCTTCTCCGACCGCAAGAAGCATATTCACCTCGGAATCACTCTCATGGAAGCTTGTTAGATTCGCGGCCGAAGATGACGGCGTCAACAAAGGATCGGTTTTTGAATCGCCTTCCACCGAAACCAGACTGTCCGAGGACTCCGCTGGTCGGAGAAGCTTCTTTCTCGCCGGAAAAAGCGTCATTTTGATCGGAATTGCAAGCGGGGATAGTAAAAGAACCACCATGATCGCGATAAACGTGTACGAGATCGTATCATTTAGATTCAAGGTGTTTTTAAGGATCGTTGTCGATAAAAGAAAGATTGCAAGTAATAGACTCGTTCCTTGGGTGAACAAGAAGTGGCCATTTTCCGACGGGTCGGCTTCAGAAGCCGGAGTACAAGGTCGAACGTAATACATTAAGGTAAGACATATAACGGGAATACCGAGTGTAAAAACGAGCACGATTGCCGGTGCTGATCCGTTAAGCAGCATCGTGCAAACTTCTGTGAAAACCGCGGCACTGAGGGCAATGTAGCCTTTGAGAAGCCCGGCAACGGTGCCCCGGCTGAGCGGGAAGTTTCTTAGGTTTGTAACGATCACGGCAGTACCCAACCACGCGCTGCTGTTAGCGGCAAGCACAAGTGCGATCCATAGCTGCAAAACAACGATCGGTATCAGAAAAAACGAGACCTGATCTTATAAAATTGGGATCGTTATAAATTGGCATTATAGGACGCCCAATAACATAGTTGTTGGAGATGCTTTTAACACTTCTACATATGACATCTACGATCATTTGTTCTTATGAATCTAAGTTTTATAAGTAGTCTGTTACGGCAGTTAGACACGTTTGACGTCCTATAAAGCCGATTTTGTCACCGTGAATCTTGAAAACGAATCGATCTGAATGATTTCAAAAACACTTCACTTGATGAACTAAACTCTATATGCTTGATCGATGACCAAGTTTCGTCTCAAAACGTCAACGCATTTCAATCGAGAAAAACGGCGATATCTTTTAGAGAAATTAATAGAAATAGCCGTTTTCAGAGATCAAATTCGTTTTCTTAGTCATTTCTCTTCGGAATTTTAAAAAATATCACTACCAGCGTAAATGGTACCTCCGTTACCTGCGGAGGAGCTCAAAGACAAAAATAAACATTCACTTTTCACCACTTGCAGAGGTGACACTTACGGACCCAGATGAAAAGTGAATTTTTTTTCGTCTTTTAGCTCCTCCCAGTCACACAGGTGCCACTCACGAAGGAGTGATATTTTGGAAATCTAAAACACAGGACGTTCCAATCTTTTTGAAGTCCCCACCACATCTAAAACTTTTGATTACATTGCATAAATAAGATGACATAAAATATATGTTAAGAATAAAAATGGGCTAAACCTAAAATGATTAACAATCTGAAGCTAAACCTAAACCATTATGATTTGAATCTAAAACCAAATAATTAATAGTTTGAACCTAAATAATTTCGGCTATAGTTTTACATATGTCGATAAAAAGACCCTAAACACATGTAAATTTGGACCCCAAAATTTCGGAGGCCCCATTCAAAATCTCGAATTTAACATGCTAAGGGACGGCCCTGCTGCTCAATCAGGTAAGAGATGAATTTGGTCCCCAAAAATGGTGATTTCGTTAACGAAATCATGTCGAACGATCGCATGAACTCCATCGATAACCTCCGGTTATCAAGAACACAGTTTCAAGAATTGAAATCGATATATAAATCAAAGAAATCCCCAATTGTTAAAAGATCCAAATAACTCTTTTTCAAAAGGAAACAGACCCAAAAGTTGATGATCGAGATGGATATCCAAAAAGATTCGAAGCTTTTTCAATCGATTTCAATAAAGAAAAAGTAGATCTTTATGAAGAAATACTTACAACCCAATAAGGCATATTAACAACAGTCTGAGAAATCGCAAGCCAGATGACGCCATAGCCGAAGAAACACGAGAAAACTCCGACGAGAAGCACCACCCAAGGCGGAAAATAGTTGCAGGCAATGCCGGGAAGAATTCCGGTGTTTTCCCCAAAATCATTAGCAACACCAAGAATCGTGAGCTGTTGTTGAGAGAAACCCAGTACGGTTTTCAGAGAATGGGAGTAAAGAGGGAAACAGTAGGAGTTTCCGGCGGAGATTCCGACCCAAACAGCGGCGGCGAAGCCAACCCACGGCGGTCGGGTTCCAGCTTTTACGGCCTGCATAGTGGATACTGGATACTGCTACTCCTCCGTGGGACGGTGGCGGAATTGATTGGAGAATTGTGGGAAGATGAAATTGGGGATCGGAATTGAAGAAATTTGTTGTTGGATTTTGAATCGTTGTGATGGAATTATGTACAATCGGAGACCGGAACTGTTGAAAATGCGACAAGCATCATTTCAAGATCCGATCCAATGTTGGTCCACATGGAACACGAATGGGAGCTTTCCACGTTTTTAGCTGTACTCGAGTCCCGACAAATTAAACTAAGAAGAGAACACGATCTTGAAAACCTACAAAATTACCATAATTTAAAAAACTGGTGTATCATGTGTTATTTTTTTATCTGTGTCTTAAATTTATTGTATTGATTAATATATATTTGTTTTACAATGTAAACATTTTTTATGTATTTATTGTAATAAAAAATACAACTAAAAAGTTTCATACTGTAAAATAAATATATGTTAATTTATATATTTAAATTTAGTTTTTGATGAAAAAAAATTATGTAAAATAATGTTTTAAGATAATAATTCTAATAATTATCACAACTTTTTTGCATTCTCAAATGATTAAGGATATATATTTCATATTTATTTTGATTAATTTATTAGAGTATATTCAACAACTATGTTATTTTAGAAATTTTGGAGATTTGAAAAAAATTGTTCCAATAATTATGGGGGTGTTTAGGATTGCTTATTTAAAATAACTTATGTTTTTCTACAAAAACATTTATCAACTTATTATAAGTCAGAAAGGTTTAACTTTTTCAAAAACTCCTTATTACCGGTTTGACACCGGTATAAGTTGTTTATTCAAACACTCAAAAGTGTTTATTACATGTGTCACACCGAAATAAGTCAATAAATTGTTTTTATAAACAATCTCAAACACTTTTTCTTTAAAATAGAGAAAAAAAATGAGGGGTAATTCAGAAAACTCTAAATTTGAAAAAAAAATTGAGAAAATATAGCATACATTTAAAGATACTTTTACAGGTTTCATTACCGTTTAGTAAATCGAAGATTTGTAGATGTAACAATTCGTATAAATTATTTAAATCAGTTTTTACGCTTATGTAAAAAATTTATAATGTTTATACAGTTTTGTTTCACATGTGAAACGTTCATGTGATTGTTTTGTATGAAAAGACAATCATGAACGTATCATATATGAAAACAATTTCAAAAGATGTTTTAATAGCAGATCTTATAAAACTCGATTCCATATATATATATATATATATATATATATATCAATCAGCTATTATATTACCTTTTTGTAAGAGACATAATGAATCGACTTTCAAACACAATATATAAATAGAAGGAAATTAGGGTTTAGGTCATAAAATGTTATTAGGATCGTAAATTTGGTTTAACAGTTTTACAAAGAAAATTAACTACATTATTGAGCTCGATCAGACTTGGTCAAACCGAACATAAAGACTAGTTCATCCAAATTCGTTACAAAAAGTAAAGAACAAGAGATCATTATTAAACTGTATACGTATAGGCATAATATTGTTTATAATAATGATTATGTTCGATTGAAACAATCAGTTTATCGTTTCAACCCAGTAACCGAACCAAACTGTAAATGGCGGATCATATGATTCACAATAGTGTTCTAAAAGGGTCTTTTATGGCAGTTGTAGTAACTCAAGGCCTATGTCTCATCACTCATGTATTTCTTTCACCATGTGAATATTTTTTATGCAAAATTTCCGTTTCACCAAGTGAAACAAAAAAAAAAGTTTCATAAGTAATTTTTTCATAAGGTAAACACAAACATATGTGAAACAATATTTTAAATCATAGTTTTTGATAGAAAAAAATCATATAGAAAAATATTTTTATGTCAGTTCTTACGAGTTTGTAATTTTTTTGTGGTTCTCATTTGATTATCACCCCCCCCCCCCCACACACACACACACATACATATTTGTAGTCACAAAGATGGACCCGGAATTTTTTTCAAACGGTAGTACCATTTGACTATAAGAAAAAACTATAGGGAAAAAATTTCAAACAGTGGCACTGTTTGACTATAAGAAACAAACATAGAAAAAAAAAATTCAATCGGTTGCACCATTTGATTAAGAAAATGACACTAACACGATTTGAACTTGGGTCTGGAGTGGAATAAAAACCTTGTAAACCAACTCTACCAATAAAAAACATGTTCTCATTGTAGTTTCAAAATACATATAAGAATAATACAGTGGAATAATACAGTGTCACGTGCCACCATATACATCAATATAAGTCCGTCACAATGTAATCAAAGTGACACTGTTAAAAAACGACGTAATATCATCATGACTCTTAAGACTTGAAGTTTGGACTCACTACGACCGATGACAACTCATATCCTTTTAAACATTGTTTATAAAGAAGATAATATTGGTTAGGTTTAGCGAGCAAGAGGGGCAAAAGCGTAATTAAGTATATGATTGTTTAGGGGTTAATTAGATGAGTGTAAAGTGGCTCCTCAGATATTATAAGGTCATATATAGAAATGGGCCCACCAATTAGAAATTGGCAAAATCCACACGAAAATATCGAATGGATAATTATAAATAAAAAAGTAAATCACAACAATCGTCCTTCTTGTTTAACGAAAACTCTGGTTTTCGTCATTCGGTTTTTGAAATAACACCAGATACCGTATCATTATGGAAAAATCGGGTATGCCCTGATGGATTTTACCTTTGTTTCGTTTGATGCCTTACGTGCAACTCACATGAGGGCGTTTTCGTCAATTTGTACTTTCTGTTAGAAGTTTTTTAAGCATACATGTTTGGAAAACACATGTAAAACTGAAGGGCCGGATGAAAAGCTTGGTTGCAGGGGTCATATGCCCCTAACAGAAGTGGTCCGGGAAGCTTAATTTTTTTTTTCTGATAATATTTTTCTATTTTGCCCCCAACAAGAAAATGCCAAGGGCTCTGGAATTGATGATAAAGCCTATTTTCTATTTGTTAATTGTGTTTTGATTTATGCTTCTTGAATTTGTTATTTAATCTGGGTTTGCTACTGTTTTGTATTTTGAGCAAATTGCATGAAAAAATAATGTACTTTAACTTGATTTCTATTTTTGAGTAACGTACTTTCAAAACTTTCATTTTGGTACCTAAGATGCACGGTTTTAAACATTTAAGTATTCGGGTAACCGGTTGAAGCATTAACCAGTTACCATGTTGATGTGACGAGTGACATGATATTCAACTCGGTATTATTTGCTGAAGCATTAACCAGGTTGGATTGTTGGTTGAATTTGTCACGCTCATATAATTATGCGTTTTACCCTCTAAAAACCTTGAAGTTGGATCAGAGACGATGGTTGATTTAGGTTTTTCTTAAATGCGTTACACACTTGTAGATATGTTTTACAAACTTGTATGTCGGAAAAAATTATAAAAGAAAATACAAAAGGACCAAAATACCCTTATATGACTTGCATTTGAGACACTTAACATAAGAAAGTTAACTTCCGTTAGAGGCAAGGATGGTTTTTGACTTTCTGAATCGAAATGTAAACTACAAAATATCGAATGTAAATTCGAAAGTTTAAGTGCCAAAAATTAAACTTTTGTTTAACCGTAGGGGGTGATTGTGTAATTTACTCAAAAGGAAAATAACATAGTTTATTATGCGAGTATAATATTATTTCCAATTTTTTGTACATAATAATATTTGACGTGTTCAATATATATATATATATATAATATATAATTTAAAATAGTTTTTTCCCTGATTCACGTGCGTACATGCACAAATTAGATAACCCATTTGTCTATATCTATTTTATATTATAAAATATTTGACAAAAAGTCTTAAAAACCATTTTTTATGTATAAAATACTGTTTATTAATACATATTACTTAAAACTCAAGATTGCACGTAAATTATGCGTAAGTACAACTTATTAAAACTCCATATCTGAATCCGTGTGACTAACTGTAGATAAACATAATCAAATACATGATAAACATTCATTTTAAATATAAAAAACCTGAAATATAATAAGATAATCACTGAGTTATAACATAATGTTTAATTATTATCTTTATAACAAATTATATATATAATTAAAACCTTCATAATCAATTACAAGTAGGTTTTTTGGGTTAAAATAATGTAAGTAAACAATTTTTAGAAGTTCGATGTTTTAGTTTAAAAAAAGTTCAAAACCTTAATAATTCACGATGAGAAAATTCAATTGTTTATTTATTCAATATAAGGGAGTTCCTTTGTTTTTCCCTGAAGAAAAATGTCGTTCTAAATCATTAAAATGGAAACTCATTTAGATTGAATAAAACCAAAAAAGTCGATCCGTTTTCATTTTTGTTTACGACCAACGTTAGGCAAGGGGTGACAACGACCGAGCAGATCATGGGTTGGGTTAGTCAAAATGGTGGTGCCGGTGGGGACGAAGGTGTGTTATACACGAACCTGTTAATATGTAAAATTATGATTAAATTTACAACTTTAATAAAAGAAACCAGACTTTTGAATTTTACGTTTGTTTCGTTTGATGATTTTAAATATATGATATTACTGTAAAACGTTATAATCTTTACAAATAAAACACAAACACACACATACATACATATATATATATATATGTATATATATATATATGTATGTATATATATATATGTAGAGGAGTGATCGTATGAAAACCGCCATCATTTGTGTAAACCGTGCAAACCACCTTCATCTGTCGATTTCATTGTTTAATCTTATGAAATTTTTTCATGAAATTGTTTAATCTTGTGAAATTGTTTCATATAATACTTTTTTTGATGAAGTTGTTTCA